TCAAGAGCATACAACTGTACTGACAACCAAAACCTTCAAAGAAGAGATAATTTCTATTTTATGCAACAGGTTCCCTGGAATAAAAGCAAAAATATGAAAAACTAGCTGGCTTATATGTGACGCTAATGTAATCTTGAAATAAGAAAGCCCTAAATAATTCTAAAACAAATTCATGTAGTTTTTAAAATCACCAAATGAGTTTAAAATTAGGAAAACTAATTAATAAGGAAAGAAAAAGCAACCTTTGTCTAATTAAGTTTTGTGGAAAATGCTTTTTGCTACTATTAAAACAATTTTTAAAAAACAATCACTAGATGAAGGAAAAGTCCAATAAAGTGTCTATTGTGCTTAATATCTTACAAAATCAGGAGTACAAGGAAAATTCCTTAACTTGATAAAACATGATTATAAAAACTGACAAACTAAATTAAAATTGAACATTAAAAGAATACAAGGTAAAATAAAGTCAATTTTATTCAGCTTAAAATGCCAATTTACTGAATTAACTATCTGGTTCACTTTGCACTCCAAATTTTTCAGCTAGTTAACACAGTTGAAAGTATATTAACAATAAACTGGGAAAAAAAATACAATAAACTGCACGCCTTAACTGTGTGTATCAGGTGAGTTCTACAATTCTAAAACTACCTGTTTTAGAATTATTTAGGATTTTCTTACTTCTAGAAACATTTTAAAGACTATATACATCTATATGAACAATAAAGTTAAAGGGTCCTTAAACAGAATCCAATATTTGGCTTCTTATAATGATACCAAATGACATCACACAAATTTTTAAAAATTCAAAGAGTAAAAAATGAAGGGTACTATTGACTCAGTTATCCAGTTGTGCTAAAATGGCATTTTTTGATGCAGATGGATTCATTTATCTAACTTTAACCACAGATTAAGACAGAATGAAAAAGATTGCTGAGCAACAAGGACACATTTTTTTTAATGCTTCTACTTTTAGCAACACTACCTATGCACATAATTTAAGATGTCTAAAAAAGCAGTTTCTTAGCTTGTTCCCCAGCCAGAGACAACCATTTTAACTGATTATTTTTCTCTGTGTTCCTTAATATCTTTATAGCTACTTCATTTTGCGTAAGTTTTAGGGCTATCTGTGACTTCATGTCACAAAAATAAATATTTACCTTTATTCTCTATCCCTGGTCTCACCATCCACATTTGGTACCAGTCCACCCTTCCAAATACAAAAAAAAAAAAAAAAAAAAAAAACAGGAAAATAAAAGTGTTAACACCTTATTTAGGTGGCAGAAATATGGGGCTAAATACATTAAGAGCTGATGCTGAAATACTTTGTAGCCTAAAAACAATGTTGAGAGAAAACTAACTTACGTGATTGTAAAATTTTGTAAGTTTTGCGATTTTTGTCATGCAATAGACGTGCCTTCTCTGCTTCTATAAACACTGGTGAGAAAGGTAAGGAAATTAATGTCTACAGGGAATTAGCCATTATTTCTCAGAGTGTCATCAATTCTGAACAAAATCTTGCCACACATTTCCACCTCAATACCAAGCACACTCTGACCAAAAAGGTCAGCTTAAATTTAATAAACATAGTAATGTCCTTACATTTTTGTTAATTTAAAATTTCTGGTTTCTCTATCATCATTTAGTTGGCTTGCTTTTCCCTGGGAGAAACACTAATTGGCATTTTCAAAATCACATTTGGTTGGAAGTACCCAATAAATTATAGTTAAGATCTTTCATGTAAATCTTGTTCATGAGCTTCTCAAGACTCAAGTAAAAAAATTTTCAATATATACATAGTCTAATGACCAGAGCCAATTAACACACTTTTAAAGCAAAGCATAATCACAGATACAGAAATACACAGGTTCAAAATTGAAAAGAAACTCAACTGTTTAACTTCATATTCCACACAGGTTTGAAAAGTATTTCTTGTAACTCAGCATCAAAAATACTATCAGCTGCTTTAGTATCAGCTTCTGATAGCATCAAAGATACCATAAGTTTCTTGGTGTGAAAACTGTGCCACAAGAAAATCAAGCATCAGAATTAATTTTATTGTTTCTCTAATAATTAATGCAAAAATTAAAATTTTACATGTATACCTGGAAATCATTTTTGACTATTAAAATTCACATAATTTTATCATTTGAACTGCAACATGATTAAAGGGAGGAAATCAAACATGTAACAGTTCTTTTGTGATATTTCAAGAAATACTAGAAAAATTCCATAGTTAAATTACAATGAAAATACAAAACAATAAAGCTTTCTTATTTGGTAGCCACCTCTTATGTTTAACAGACTTAAAGTAAAATGTGTCAAAGATCAAGAGTAAGTTATCTGACATGTCAAGTGCATAGGGTCAAAGGCACAATTTTATTAGGTCAGAGGTGATATAAATAAAATCTTTTATGTCAAAGAAGAAAGGTCACAGACAAGGTATATATAATAGAAAGACATCACAAATGACAAGTAATAACTTTAAGTAGAACATGTGTGTTTACTATAGATATCTTCACTGATTAAAATGAAACTTCCATGTGAGCAATGTAAAATAGCATTTCTATATCACATAACTCATATGCTATACTGAACATTTTTACAGGGAGCAGGAGCTATCACCAATAATAACTACATGAATTAACTAAGGACTTTATGAAAATTTAATTCCTTTGAACTGAAACAGTATACAAAAATGAATATATCAGTCAAATTTCAAGCCACAATGATTAAATATCAGATCATTATGATAGGTACACAAACGAGATACTATCACACATTCTTTCAATGTCCCTAAATTTGATATTCTTTCCTTCTTACTTTTCTCATTAAAATAAAAATACACAAAACTTTTTTCAGTTTATATAATAGCATAGAAGTTTGTAATTTTTTTCTAAATTATATATTTAGCTTTTAGATTAAGAAATCCTAATTACAAATAGTTTTTATAAATGAAAGAGATTCCTTTTGATGGGAACTACCTTGTAATTATTTAAGACAGTAATCTTCACAAATTCTTCCACATACAAAAATTGATTTTTCAGGTATTTTCAAAGTAAAACATGTAAGCAGATGATTTGTTCTATGTAGCAACTTCAGATAGAAAATAGTGATATCAAGAAAGACGTAAAATAAAATTCCATATTAATCTCTTGAAATACTCAATTTTAGTAAAAGGTGAAAAGTTATTTGAGGTAACCCAAATAAATAATTAGTTCCACATTCCATTTTATGTGTATTAAAAGTATATACAAAAGAGAAGTTTAAACCCCATTCTCATGATACCTTCAACCCAATGTGTATAACCTTTCAGTTCAATTCAACTGTTGACCTTACCTTAACTACACGTCAAGTGTTATGTCAAACACACATACACAGGAATTAAATACTACAGAGTTTTAACTCCAGCTCCAGTGAACTAACTGGCTTGCACAGGACTAACTTTCCAATTCCAAAAGTTGCACAAAAGATGCAAAGCAATTATAGGAAGATGTAGCCGTAGGTTTGAAACAATGGTATGAAGGTTTCAGCAGACTTGAAAGAGTCTGAGCCCTAAGAAGAGGAAGTGGACTCTACATTCAACCGGAATTTTTTGTAAGGGGTGATGCTAATTTTTGACAGCAGAGAATAATGGAAACTGAAAGTCAGACTTCACAAGCTAAGACAGAACTGGGAGTTTAAAGCTGTCAAGTGATGTGAACTCGAGGTAGAATTCCTCCAAGGAAGAACTTACAGAGAAGTTAGCCCAAATAATGGTGTACAATTTCCCCTCAAGCATAGTTCATATTCAGCAATCCATGAGAAAATGGCAGCTTAATTGTCTAGATAATATTTATTAAGAAACCAGCTACATAATTACTGCTTCTCAACAGCACCCAATCCAGAGTCAAGTTTTGTCACCTGACTCTCCCCTTAATCATCTAATACAAACTCTTACAAGTCCTTTCTTATACCTTTCTACTGAGAAGCTCCATAACTTCCCATGATATTTGCCCTTATTTATAAAGTTGACAATCCCAATTTTATTCAGTGGGAATACCAACAAAATCGAAGAAAAACAACTACAGCTGAACATAAACAACAGAAATGTCTTACAGATTTAAGTATGAACGAAATCAGACATAAAAGAGTACATTCCTATGACACCATTTATATGACAGTCAAGAACAGGTAAGACAGACTAATGGTGTAAAAAGTCAGAGTAGTTACCTTTTGGGGACATAAACAGAAGAGGCCACAAAATCTAGGGAGCAAGAAATTACCTAAACTGTGATTTGGTGGTGGTATATCAGTGCATGTATATGTAAAAATTCATTAGCTATGTATTTAAGATTTCTGTATTTTACTAATGTATGCCATACCTACAGAACAAAGTTAACCAGATACATCCACCTACACAAAGGAACTGTTTTAACAGAATGCAGAGTCATCTCTCCTGGGCACCTTGAGAGATGTTTGAAAAGTGTGAATTTCCCATTGGGTAGCTTTAGAAATTCTCTATTATAACAAAACAAGTTCATAGATTATTGAGCTATACTATCCAATTCTAAGTAATAACTGAAAGAAAAAATGTTTATAAATGTGTTGACACAAATCTAAATTCCACATGCACAATAACAATAGGTTGAACAAATAATGCATTTCCAAAAATTTTTGAGTAGTTTATGGGTTCAAAATTAGCCACTTACATGGAAAACATACTGTTAACTGCTTTCTAGTAAATTAGCTACATAACTGAGTAATTCCTGTCTTGCACTATTAAAATATCAAAATATTAACTTTTTCTTGCGCAAAAACTATATAAATAACACCATTACATTTTTATTTCTACAATTCTTAAATTAATATGTGTGGTGAAATGATGTTTGCATATTGCAGTATAGTAATTTTTAGGCACTACATATACTTTTAAATATCACAGAAATATGTGTAAACAGCAATTCTTTATAACAAAAAATCAGACAGATAATAAACTGTACATGAGCAGAAGTAAAGCTCACCACTTCCTCATCTGAAAGCTCACGTCCTTGGATGCTGCTATTCTCTCTCACGGCTTGCTGGTGTTTTTTCCCCTTAATGTGGCTAAAAAGATACACCTCTGAAGAGATCTAAAAGCAAAAAATTAAAGAAATGAAATCAACATAACATTAAATCTAATTTTAGATATTACACATTTAGTCCAGCATAAACCATATGCGAATTAAGATCACTTTACTATTTACATAGTAGGTCTAAAAACAGTTCCCTTAGCATGTAATTCTAAGAATCTCTAGAAAAAGATGCAAGATCAAAAGGGGAAATGCCATTCATCACAGTCAGCCTAACAGATATCATTTCTTCTAAGTTTAAGGTTCAAGTGTAGAATCAAAAATATTGCCTTTCTTGGCCTGAACTACCATTCAATAAGTAATCAACTATTTTAATAAAACAGCATGCTGTAGAATTTTGCACTGCTATTTCTAAATCCCATTACCTATACGACTACTTACTTTCATTCAGAATCATTAAAGAAATCCATGGCACTCAGCGATGCCTTAATATGAGTTTTAAAGAGACTAGAAGATTATATTCTATGGTTTCATACACTTTAGTAATAAATTATAACACCATGATATTAATATGAACCTACGAGGACACTGCAGAGAGAACACTGCTTCTTTCTTTCGTAAGGGGTCAGCTTGGGAGCATAATCAGTATTTGCATGTCGCCCACTGCTTAACTCAGCAGCCTTTTCTTTTCTTTGTTCAATTTGCTCCATGTGCCTTCGAATGCTTTCGTCATGCTGCAAACGCAAGAAATTTAAAAAGTATTCAAAGTATTCATACTAAAGATTTCCAGTAAAGAAGTAATGTGGATTATTTTGATGCTATCTTACTTTGATGCTAACTTGTACAATAAAGCCACAGGTTTATGCAAAGACCTAACATCTCTGACGTGCAAGGTAATGTTTCCTAAAGTATGTTCCATGGGACAGTTTCAGATGTTTTGTGGGAGAGGGTCCACGGGGCTCTAGTACATGGCGGAGCTCTGATTCAATACATGTAGTTATCAACAGGCAGCATTTCAAAAATTAGCTGTCAACCATACACTTTTGAGAAGTATTTCCTGGAACACACTATGAGAAATGCTGACTTGCAAGTAAAAAAATCACACCTAGTTACACAGCAAAGCTTATCACTACACAAACCTCTGCCTAGCCCATTTCTTTTCTAATTTTCTTCACTTCCAGGAACTAATGAATTTCTTTAACCACTTACCAGTGCAATTATTTAAATACAGGATGACCAATAATTGCATATTTTTTCATTGATTTTATAAGATAACAAATATAAAAACAATTTTATCAAGTTTATTCAATAATTTTCTGTATGTGGTATATTTTAAAAGTCAATAACAACACAACATGTAATCTGGACAGTAGTATCTAATCTGAATTCTTTTTGCATTATTATTTTTCTTTGAACAACACACTTTACATGGTGATGTTGGCCTTTCCTTTTTTTTCTGTGGGTGGTAGAATTTCAATAAAATATTTACCCACTAAACATAACAGTGAAGACGCTGATGATAAATATCCTGGTTGCTGTTTTGCTATCACATATTTTTCAATTATTTGATCTATTTGACCTAACCTAAATTGTAAATGACTTTGTGAACCCCCTCACTTTGAATAAATAACAAACGAGTTGCATATTGTTTGGTCTAGAAGGTGCATAAATATTTTATTATAATATTTTTCCTTGTTTTTTATTATAGGATAGCTTTGTTAGATGCTTGTCAACTCTGTCAACACCACTCACAGAATTATTATAATCAATGACTGCTATTGGAATTTTTTAGTTTTGTTTCTTCTTTCAAATTCTATCATTTCCGTATTACAAAACAGTTGATAATAAGGAAATGTCTTTTTTATCTTTCCATTTCATAACACACACTTGTCTTCTCTTATATACTAACATTTCTCTCTTTTCTGTTTTTTCTTTTGCAGATCTTTTGGCACTTTCTTCCTATCAGCCCCAGTGTCCCAAACATGTCTGTTTTGTATTGTAAAAGAATATCAGTGAGTTGTGGAGAAGTATGAAAATTATATCTAATGTACTCATGGTAAGAATTTTTATAAATTGTAGCACAAAAGTATAGGCTATTTTTCACAAATAAAACATAAATTAGTAAAGGAAAATAAACAGAACTTATTATTAGATTTCACTAGAAACAAACATCAAAATACAACATATTTGTAAAAAAATAATGCAAAAAATAGTAGATAGACAACAAATAGGTGTTCGAGTATATCTTGTACAAACAAGGACTGGTGGAAATGACATCTACCCTTGTGGTGTTTATGATGTAAACATATGTGTGACCTGAGTGACACTTGGAGTAAACTGTTAAATGTTTAAAAACTATTTCAGACTTATGCCTGTGTACTCACACTTCTTCACATGACTCCTGGAGTGGATTCCACTCACCCATCCACTCCCCTTGTCTATTGAACTCGACCTTCTTTTAACATCAGCTTAGAAATTACTCCCTAAAACAATTTCCCTGAACTCTGGTACCATTAATGTAGGAATGTCCTCCTCTGCCTTCTATTGCACTTCATGTATACTTCCATCTGTATGGAAATTATCTGCTGAGCATCTGAATCTCACATTACATTATGAGTTTCCTGAGAACTAGAATCACACCTTACTCATTCATAAATATGCTGCATCATAATTAAATGAATGCTAATTTCCTAGGTCCACACAAATAGTAGAGTAAAATATGATCTACTTTAACATGTAAGTAATTGTGATATATTGCAAATATTCACATGCTAAAACTGCTTACATCTTGTAGCAATGATAAAAAATTTTCTAGAAAATATCAGTTTCTGCATGTGGGTATGATGGTGTATGCCTGTAATTTCAGTACTCTGGAAGTGTAAACCATATTCAAGCCCACAGCCTAGGCAACTTAGGGAGATCCTTCCTTAAAACAGAAAAAAAGGAAATGTAGGCCCTGGTTCAATCCCTAGTACTGAAAAAAAAAAAATCAATTTATCATAATCTTTCAATCTACAGCTGTGCAATTCCTATGCATTTAAAATCAAGTGAAACATAAGAATACATCTTTTAGTTTTTTCCTAAATGATTAAAATTTATTACTATCGGGGCTGGGGATTTAGCTCAGCGGCATAAGCACCTGCCTTGCAAGTAGGCGGTCGTGAGTTCAATCCCCGGTACCAGAAAAAAGAAAAAGAAAAAAAAATTTATAACTATCAGAAGCCTAACAGTTATGCCTTCAAGTCATTAATCAATTTCTGAGTAAATCCATAAATGTTAAGTTTCATTTAATTTTTTCTCACAAAGACGCTTCCTGCCTTATCAAAATAAATGTAGGGTCCAGATGGTTGAGTTTGAGTCACAGTTCAGTCATAGAAGACTTATACCTAAAAATTAATACAAATGAATGCAACTTTTGTCTATAAATACAATTTTAATATCATGCTCCTTTGTATGCTCTAAAACTTCTACTTAAGCATATATGATATCCATACCTTGAGTTGAATTTTTTTCTGTAGCTCTTCCATAGCTTCTTGCTGAGCAGCTGTGAGTGCAGCCAATCGCTCTTCCCTGTCTCTGTAAAAGAATCAGCTACTTAGAGCAACACATCATGGGAAATCAAAAAACACAATTAGGACTCAAAAGCTCATATATTCTACAGGCTCACTAGTTTTTAAAAATTCTGAGTATCTCCTACATTTTAGGATTATTGCTCATTAAATATTTGGGAGCACTAGAATTCTGTCTTTGTTTTATTTTTTTAGTGCTGGGACAACAGAGATTATTTGCTATGAAAATGGTGTCTAGACCTAAGCAAGAATATAAATATTAGCTCTGGAACTGCCACTTAAATATGGCATTTTGAAAATATACACTTATCTTGATTCCCTTGCAAAGTCCTCCTAAACCACAAGAAAGCAACAATAAAAGGCAAAACCCCCACAAAGACAGAGAATAGGTCAAGAAATGACCACATACAATGAAGAACACTATTTCAGAAACTGAAAAAGAAATCTGAGAAACCTGAAATTTAGACCGTCAAAGGAAGAAACTAAAAAGTAACTCTACTACAAAACTCCCTAAAAACTCAGAACTAGAGAAAGTACCCAAGGAAAAATAATGGTAAGGGATTGAAATGAAGGACTGAAAAATTCTCCACAAACATAGTGAGGAGGGAAGAAGACTGCAGGTGGCGGCATGCACAGAACTGTGTATTCAAAGCAATGTCAAGGTGGAGGAGAGATAATACACTGAAAAAGAGGAGTTAAGTACAAATCTCCACACTGAAAAGGTTAGACAAAGAGCGTCTTCCCCTTTCAGCACGCACAGCACTGGTAGCTGCTTTATTTCCCATTCCCGCAGACTTCCCCAAGGAATCTCTGAGGCTTAGGGAAAAAGTCAAAAGGCTCAGAGAAAAAGTCAACAAAAGGACTAGTGGGAATCCTCCAAGTAAAGGCCAGTTCCCCAAAGACTTCAGAGGGACCCAGTGGTCTGTAAGTCCAGTCTAAAACACTAATGTATTGAAACTGCTGCTCAGTGTTTCATTAAAAAACACAGACAAGGGGAAAAAGCAGGGCGAGGTGGATGATGAACATTTGAAGAGAATTTGAAGAGAATTTCTAACATGAAGTTAAAGACAAAAACCAAAACATAAAAATGATGCAAAAAAAAAAAAAAAAAAGAATGAAAAATGTGCTGAGTGTCATGGCTCATACCTATAATACTAGCACTTTGGAGGCCGAGGCAGGAAGATTGCTGTGTGAGTTAGAGAACAGCCTGAACTACATACTGAGTTCAAGGCCAAGCTGAACCACACAGTAAGACACTGTTTCAAAACAAACAAACAGTAAGAAATATAAGAATTTTTCAAAACAACTATAATTAACAACCTGAAAACAAGAAAATATGTTATACTTATGAAATAAGAACAGAATATTATTTATGAAAATGGAATAAAGGAAACAATATTTATATATTTAAAATATATAGAGTAAAAAATTTAAATCATTAGAAAAACTGAGAAACTAGAAAACAATATATAAATTCATGATGGGGGAAAATAGATGTAAAAGGATAAGAAAATTAAATTAAATTCAGAAGATCCAACAACTGCTAGTATAAATTCTACAAGGAATATATAATGGAAGAAACACCAGGTTTTAAAATCTTTATAAAAATATTTTTAAAAGGTATGAACCTCCAGATTTTATATATGCCTACCACCACAATGAATATAAACACAAAACACATGGAACACCTGTTTTTGAAAGAAACATAAACATTGAAAATTAACTTCTCAATTGCAACAGGAGAAGCTAGATATCAACCAGTGACTTCTAAAATCTGAGGGGAAACAATTGTCAAGTAAGTATTCTGTGTCTGATCAAGTAGAAAATGGAATAAAACACTTTCAAATCATTTGCATTGTCTTAAAAAAGGTCTCAGGAATGGTTCGTGTGTTAGGTACTCCAGAATATACTCCAGCAAAATCAGAGTTTATTCATAAAAAGAAAGCAATGAAACTGGAGCCAGCCAGTTTAACATCAGAGGAAGATGAAAAGAAATTCTAAAATAACAACATTCCAACGGACCTAAAGGATCAATCCAGACTGAAACCAAAGGACACAGGAATTCAGAGGTATCTCTAAGAAAAAGTTTAACTGACAGAATTATCATTTCAAATATAAATTCAAATATGTTAGAATTTTTAGTTCCTTTTGAATGTCTGGAAATGATTCCGTGACTGGAGCATGGGAAACAAAAGAAACTAAAACACAAGGCAATCATTCATTCAGGGACAACAAAAAGTCACAATATAAAGGAAAAGATAATTGGATTATACTAAGTTGTTCAGTGTTAGGAGTAAAAAGACTGCTGGAAATGAACTTAACCAAATCAAAAATGAGGAAAGGGGAATTCTGAGTATAAACTGAGGATATGAAACGAAACAATAAAACCTCATCATTCTTAGAAGAAAATCAAATAAGTTCTGGACAGAAAATTCAAGAAATCACAATGTAAGTATGTTACTTAGAAATACGTAAGAAAGTATCAGGCAACTTAGAAACAGATGTCTTCAGCTTAATGAAGCTAAAGTAATGTGCTTTACAGGAATGGTAACTGAAGTGGAGAGACATGGGGCCAAGGAAATTCTTTATTATAAAATTGATATACTACTTAACTTTATATAAATTTTATTTTGATAAATTTTTTTTATTTAAAATATAATATTAGGGATAGGACTGCTAGATATGGAAGAAATCAGTAAATCCTTTTCCCAAAAAGCAAGTATAAAACATGACAGAATTGTTAAAACCAAAACAAAACACTTTGTTTCTGCAACTCAACCAAAAACAAACAATAAATTAAGAAGTACTCACTGATGCAAAACCGCAGAACTGTTTGAATACATTATCTAAAAATGTCTATTTTCCAATAAAGAACTAAGAGATATATAAAGAAGTATGGCAGACACAGGAAAAAGCTGTTGCTGAAGCCCTATGTTGTTTTAACAAACACAGATGACTATATGGCTATGGAGCTCTTACAAATATGCTTAAGTAATTAAATGAAAGTATGCCATAACAATTAAAGAAAAAGATGATGATGATTCCATTGAAATCTCAGTAGAGAAACAGAATTAGTTTTAAAAAGCAATCCTCCCCCACAAAAAAACCAACTTTCTAGTAAAAGGAACCAGACTCCTAAAATAAAATGGCTGATCTGAGGGCTAGATAGGGAAAATACAAGACAAATCTGGAATATGTGTAGTATAAGAAAGAAAATACTCAAAACAAAACAGATAAAAAGATGAAGTTAATCAAAGGGACACAGGAGCCAACTAAAACAGTTTCCCATGTCAAAAATTGGGACAAGTGACTTCTGGGAGAACATGGCAGATAGATAGCAGCAACTATGGAGGCTCTCTGAGATACCCCACTTAGAATCCAGGAATGGGGTGGTGCGAGGAGTCCTAAGCAAGGGGAGATATACCCTGACGACCCAGGAATGAACTAAGCTAAGAGAAACCAACTGGAAACACAATCCCAGTGCTATAACAGGAACAGATAAAATCTCAGCGTGGAAGCTGGATCCCGTGTCATTAGAAGCCTCGATTTGAATTTCCTGCTGCCGCTGCTGCGTCCAAATCTGCAGGGCAGGGAGAGAGACGTATGAAAACTCTGAGAGTGGGAATCAGCAAACGGAGTTGAAAAGGGGACTGGCAGGGAGCCCTGTATCGACCTGCGGTGAGTGAGCAGATCGGGGACCCTTTGATAGAGCAGGAGACTTCAGCAAAGGACATACTGGGACCGGGCAGACTTGCCAGAACAGGATGCTGCAGTAATTCCAGTCGCATATTTCCCTCTCAAGCGGGATTGGTGGGAGTACCTGGCCTGGGTGACGCTGCTGACTAAGACCCAGTAGGCTAACCCAAACAAGGTCCCAGCGCTTGGAGGTGCACCCTAGCAGTGAAGCCTTTGGTAGGTTGACCGGGAGGGGCAGGCCCAGCAGAGGCTGCCCAGGTCTGTGTCTCCCGAGTACACTGCAGTCGGGGGGAACACCTAGCCAGCACAATTCCAACAAACTATAACAGAAAAAAAGAAAAAAAAAAAACTAGGCCTTCTATATTCACTTGTATGGAAGGAACAAAAAGTATGGGAAGAGGAAGCAAAAAGAAAGGGTCCTCAGTCCCCAATCCTGAGAACACTGATGCAGGAAAGCTGAATGCAAAGGAGAATGAGGAAAGAAAACATGCAATATCAGACTCAGCACCAATAGACATAAAGCGATATCTCCGGAGCCTCATAGACAAATTCAAAAGAGAAGTATTTAATGAAATAAAGCAAGATATAAGTAGAATAGTTAGAGAAATGCTAAGCACCACCCAAGAAAAAAACAGATGGTGGAATGGAAGAACAGAAAAAAAGGGGAGAATTGTTTGATGGAGAAAATAGAGAAAACATAGACTACGTGAAGCAGGTTCAAAGAGATTACCAGGAAACTAAAAACTCTATTGAAAGCTGGTATAACAGCTTGAAAGAAACTACGGATAGGTTATCTGAACTGGAGGGCAGATTTGTAATGTGGGAACATGAAATGAAAAACTTCTTAAAAATAACAAAAAAACAAACAGCAATAATGCAAAGGCTAGAAGATGATTAAGAAGATCTATAACTTAAGAATTAAGAACATAAAAGAAGAAGTAGGGGCACAAACAAATGGACTACAAAAGCTATTCACAGAAATAACCCAAGAGAATTTCACTAATTTAGCAAAAGGTAAAGATACTCAGATGTATGAGGCATGCAGGACCCCAGCCACCTACAACCCAAACAGAGCTATACCCAGGCATATAATAATCAAAATTCCAGAAATACAATATAAGAACAGAATATTAAAAGCCGTCAGAGATAAGAAACAGATCACTTACAAGGGAACATGCACCAGAATTATAGCAGACTTCTTGGCACAAACCATCAAATCACAAAGAGCATGGGGGAAAATAATTGAAGCTTTGAAAGATAATAACCTCCAGCCAAGACTGATATATCCTGCACAACTGTCCCTAGAAATTG